AATCAGGGTAATGGTATAACGCGTGAAGAATATGCAAACGGTTATACACTGTTTGTGTTTGATCTCACTCCTGACTTATGCCTTGGTGATCATGTACAACCGATTAAGAACGGAAATGTGTCAATTGAATGTCGATTTGGAACACCGTTGGAGACAGCTATAATATCGTGGTACTTGGTGAATTTCAAAGTCTTATCGAAATTGATGCGAACCGGAACGTGCTGTGTGATTTCAACAACTGAAGATGAACTCGCTGCAGATTATGAACATTCACAAAAATGATCCATTTACAAAAACGGTGTTTACGGACGTTTTACCGTCAGATCGTTTACCTCGCGGAATAAGTAAGAGGCCTAGAGGGTACATACTTAACACGGACGCATCGGATATGCAGGGATCTGGCGGATCACACTGGATTGCAATGTATCTTACAGAAGATGGTAAAGGGGAATTTTGGGATTCGTATGGTCAGGCTCCTGGATTTTACAATCAGAACTTTACTCAATTTTTGGACAAGCATTCCGCTACATTTACATGGAACATAGGTTTACACTTGGCCAATACTTTCAGAAGTTCGGAGTTCCTCTTCATGCAAGCAGGCATGATCAAATGAACATTTTACACAAGTTCCCACATTTTTATACTCTGGGTTGATAGACATAATGCGTGTCGGTTGGAAAGATCCCGGATCGAATCCGTATCTCGTCAGGACATGTAGGAGTTAAGTCGACAAATAGATAAGAGTAAGGTTCTTTCGTTGCCAATTGATAAGCTTGTTGGAAAAAATTCGTTTGACTCGATCGGGTATAGCTGTTTAGCGAGATGAGTAACTTGACTTGCATCGCGAACATTTTTTGTTAAACATAAATAACTTGCATTGAGAGATATTGTGCGATGCTCTTTGCTTTGGTGAAACAAGTTTTGCACAATGTAGATTACGCTTAGATTACCATGGTGGGATTTTTTCGTGAACAATTTAGAAATCACTCCGTCCTTCTCACCCATCATATCGTCAATGATGAACAAATTGCGTGTTTCTGGATTGATACTATCCATTATATTATCCGGCAAGCCTTGTATGAATTTTATACCAGGCACTAAATGTTGTATTTCTCCAAACGCGTCTTGATATTCGGCATAGAAGTAAATAATGTTTTTTCAGGCGTTGGATCAATCAGCACATTGGCATAGCTGAGAAGCCTTTTCACAAAGGTAGTTTTGCCTGATTTTGTACCGCCAGAAACGAGAAGCCCAAACGGGTGTCTTAACTGTATGGAGTACATGATGAAAATGAAAGCAGATACTTTTCGATCAGTCTATTTATCTTTTGCAACTCGATCAATACCGTTGCTTTATCAATAGGCATTTTCTTAGCACGAATAAGGTATGGTTGTCTCTCTTGAGTAGATAGTTTATGAACATTGGTTAAATGATGATTAGATAATTTTAATAAACCTTTCTTTCCGCACACGGGACAGACCTTACGCGTTCGAGGCATGCTATCAAATGAATGTTTCCGAGCATACCACCACCTAAATAGTCCCTTCGGGGACTAATTTTTGTCCCCGGATGTCCCCGGCACAGACGAATGTCCCCACGCGGCCATAATTAATAACATTAGTCCCTATTATAGCCGATTGTCCCTCTACAGATAGTCCCTTTGGGGACTAATTTTTGTCCCCGGATGTCCCTGGCACAGACGAATGTGCCCATGGGGACATATTTACCAGCAGTAGTCCCTATTATAGCCGATTGTCCCTCTACAGATAGTCCCTTTGGGGACTAATTTGTGTCCCCGGATGTCCCCGGCACAGACGAAGGTCCCCATCCCTATTATAGCCGATTGTCCCTTTAGAAAGGCCCTCCGGGGACTAATTTTTGTCCCCGGATGTCCCCGGCACAGACGAAGGTCCCCATGGAAACATGATTACCGATATTAAACCCTAATAAAGACGAATGTTCCTCTAGGGAAAAAATCCCCGCAGTTGTACCATTACACACATAACTTTTATGTTTGAAATCATTTATTAATTTAAAAACCATAAGGCAATGTATCAAAATTATTTACAATCACACGTTTATTATATACAATACGATAGTCCTTGTTCTCACTCCTCGTCTTTACACTTTTCTCTTTAGTGTCTCTATTTATTTTGTAGGGTATATTTACAGTTACTCTCTCGGGACCTTCACCCCTGACCATGTCAGACATGACGTCAAAGTTGACATGTTGTTGGGTCCTGTAGTTTAAGGTGATCCCTCTATCTTTGCATACTGTTTTGTCTGTGCTTGACTCGTAGGCATAGTTTTTAGGACCTCCAGACACAAAGGTGGTAATGTAACCTCCATCTAACTCATCTGTTAGCTGACCAAGATAGGATCCCGTCGGCGGCTCCCATTCGTCTTCCTTTGAAACATAAATTGCTGAGTCTGTGTCAAAATACAGGACCCGGCGATTTAACTGCTCCAGGACACCATAGAGCTTGAGGCGGGCGTGGGCTGTGGTGAACGCTGCGATAACCACATTTGTTTTTCCATCGGCTTCCACGAATTGGTCAACGTTTTCAAAATGGACTTCGATGAGCTCGTCATTGATGAAATTCGCGTCGGTGACGTTAATCTGATCGCTGGATAGGAGGTCAAAATATTCAGCTGGATCCGATATGATTTTGACCTTAGTCATGTTGGGTCGTTGCGCAAACTTTCCTACAAGAAATGATAGGTTTTTAACAAACACTTGTTTTTTCCCTAGGAAAAACAAATACCGTTGGTGGACAATTTGCCATCGCACTTACCCCAAAAAGAGTCCAACATGAGCTTCGCCAACGCCCTCAGACCAGGATTCTTGACAATCTGTCTTGGATCCAGCTGAATACCTTCTTTTGCGGCGTAGTCAGCGATGTACTGCCCCTTCTTCTCGTCGGTGTCACATCCCTGCGGAAAGCCACTCGCCTACAAAAGAGAAAGGAATAATAAGAAACTAATGATGTGACAATATCACACATGTGATGAAACCTTACCTCTTGCTTGATTTTGAGGAACGTATCAATATAGTCCTTAAACAGTCCATCTGTGTGCTCGGGGAAGTGCCAAACTTCGTCGATTCTCACCAGTTTGTAGCCTTTCTCTAGTGCTTTCTCGAGCTCCAAAGTCACCCACGTCCCATGAAGTGTTCGCTCGGCGTCGCTGTGATGGTAGGGCTCTTGTTGAAGGTTGTCGGCACAGGTACGACACAACGGGAACATCAATTTACCCTGAGTACGGTAAGGGAGGACGGGGTGGTATAGGGCACGAGGAGGAAGCACAGAACATTTCACCAAACCAAAGTAGTCACTGATAGGTTGAAAGTTCTCAGTAATAATCTCGGGATGGCCAATTGGATATTCGCCGTATTTGTTACACCTAAAAATTGCTTAAGAAGGTTAACGACAAGCACGTTTGAGTTAAAAGACTTTAAAAAGTTACATACCATGGGTAGAGGCAGCAGAAATCCACATAACGGATCTTCTCTTCTGGCTGGACGTCGTAGTATAGGCGTGTTGCGTTAGTCCTTCCACCAAAGAATGCATGACGAGGTTCCAGAGGTTCAGAGATCTCGAAATTGTCGAAGAAATCTTTCATCTCGGGTTCGGTGGCAAGTTGACTCTCAATATCACACGTCCAAATCTCTACGACATTGTATCCGTTGTCCTTTAGGAATTGGATTTTCTCTAGAGTTCGCTGCTTAAGATCTTGCATGGTCATATGGTTGATCGGATTCACGGTATCTCTGGCATAACACCTTTCGCATCCATGCCACAGGCATCCTTGAATTTCCCAAACAGTGTTTGTCTCAACGTTGAAACCATCGACAAGATACTTGTCAATGCGCTGTTCTCCGTGGTTCCGGGCGTGGCGAATTGCAATGTTATCACGTTGAGCGACCCATGCCAGCATCTTCAAGGCGATGACAGACTGTTTGTTTTCAGGTTTGTACCCGCAAGGAGGAATGACGGTGATGGTGTTCTCCTGGAGGAATGTTTTACGGAAGACGAGATTACACGCAGAAGCAATGGTGAGACAAGAGGCAAAAGGGTCAACATCTGTGACTTGATGGAAAAGTTCGCGGAACTCGAGACAGCAGCGACGCAAAATGTCCACATCGGATTGACAATAACGCAGAATTTCGGCTTGAAAGTCGAACTCGTACTGACGCTGTTCTTGGTCGCTGTACCATGTATAAAACTTTTCGCGGTCATCGGTGCTCATGCCATCAGGATCGTAGAACTTGGCTTCAGGCATTGGTCCCACGTAGTCTTGGTTCTCAGCACGGTTAAAGAAATGAGGAAAGTAACCTTTCTGAAGCTCTGTGAGACCAAACGTTTTCGGGAAGGCGGCGAGTTTCATTGGGATGAAACAGAGAGAGTCTATAAACTTGATGTTCATTTCGGGGACAGTGAGCGAAAGGATTTTTGCGCCACGGGTAATGATTTCTGGAGTGATACCATTCTTGTAAAGGTATTGCAGAATAAAGTACCCGTCGTAAGCCTGGAAATTATGCGCGACAAACGTCGTATTCGCGTTTTCCTGCTGAAACATCCACTCGCAAAACTCGTCTTTAGTGTTTGGTCCAGAAAAGACTTTCTCGTCACCGCTTTCGTTCTGGACTACGCAGAGATTGGGGACGTGTTTACCATCGTCTTGCGTGCACTCAAAGTCGAAGAACATTAAGTTTTTGGTGTCTTCTACGTCGTTTTCCACGGCCACATCATCATTGAGCAAATCGTTTCCTTCTTCAGCTGTTCGTGTCTTCTTCGCCTTTACCGGTTGAAGATAGCATTGATGGTTTTCAGGCTTGACGTACTTTTGACATGTAGAACATCTGACTTTGCCACAGTGATGATCACGAAGACTGGCACGAGTAACAACACGTTTGCATTTCTTGCATTTAATTAAAGCACGACACATGGATTTAGCAGGGCCGGCGTCATCTTTATGGCGGTCGAAGCATTCGTTACTTTTCAAGAAACGGTTACAGTCTTTGCAAAATTTCCATTTAACAATGGGACAGTTTTGGGTATTACATAACTGGCACAGATCGCCACAGGGATGTCAGTAATCTTGTCGTAGCCCTTCTTGCATTTATGGCAATACTGTTTACGGGCGAGGAAGGCAGGCATACTGGTGATGACGTCATAATGGTTGTCATGATGGTATAAATATAGGTGTTTTTCAGCTTCAGGACCTGTGTAGATGAGGGCATTCAAATGTTCCTTGGAGATTACGTTCAGTTGATAACCAGGGAGAGCAGTTTGGAACTTCTTGACTTCTGGGATGCCACAGGAGCCAAGAGGGACGCCCGCTGATTCATGGAGTTGATGAGCTAGGTGAGTTTGCAGTGTTCCACGCGGTGTTACGATGCTCTTATACTGTGGGTCTTTGTCCAGCTTTGCTTTGGCCACTATGATCGCGCGGGCACAACAGAGATCATCTTTGTTTTTGATTTGAACAATACAGTCCTTTTTTCTGAGAAACCTTTCGAGGTTTACAACATCACGTCGTTTTCTACCTGCACCCTGAGGCATTTCGACATGGACCACGTTGACACTGACAGAGTCATCTAAGGTAAATTGATCATTGGACTGTACGACACGTTCACAGTGGCGTGCTGGGTACTATTTTTCTGGAGGGGCCAGTGGGCTGTCAACCAATATGCGCCCCTATAATGTTACACTTAATAAACGAGAGCCAAAGGCACGAGCCTAGTGTCGCAGGTGCGAGGTTTGTCTAGGGGGGTCCGGGGGCATGCCCCCCAGGAAAATTTTTGAATTTAGAGTCTCTGAAATGCCATTTCCTGGACTTTGGGGGAAGATTTGACAGAAATCTGATGGTCAGGAAACGGCATTATAACGTGTCGAAATTTGCAATTTGGTTAGGATTTAGTAGTAGTACTTAAATTATGCAATGCTAACTACTTCCAGCGATTAATTTAATCCCAATTCTGTTCTCTACTGATCTACTGTTCTGAGCACATTTACAACTTAAAGCTCTTTTATACAATAACACACGCACCCCACGCATATGCATTTTAAGGTTTCTTTGCCTGGCTGCCCAAAGGGCATGTTTCAGCATTATTTCATTACTTACATTACTCATGCTTCTTGTGCAAACAACTAAATTGCGTACACAACTTTACATCAGTTATCATAACTTCAACTATCTAATTTGGGCCGCGCTCGTGATTCGTGAAGCATAATAAAGGGCATATTATAAGGGCATAATACCAGCAAAAAAGGGCATAATTCCCGTGATCGCTTCGATCGAAACCTGACCAATATTCCGGTAATGAGACATTGCCTGTGATCACTGATCATGTTTTTATATGAACGATTTCGTGTGAGCTGTGAGGTAGAAATACGGTTAGGCAAAATAGTCTGTAATTTAATATATGTCGCCTATGCGCTTAGTCTGTTTTATACCGTAGCCTATAAACACGTCTTTTCTTGGCGGAAGTAACCATATTTTTTCGAGAATGTGTTTTTTCCCACCCACTTTCAAAATTCGGCGCCCCATTTTCATTTTTGCGCCCCCCAAGAATTGCCAGCTGGGGGGGCCGTGGCCCCCCGGCCCCCCCTGCCAGCACGCCACTGCACGCTCAACAGCTGCCAGGAAACGTTCTGGGGTTAGATCTGGGATCGTTAGATCTGGGATCTGGGATCGTTCTGGGATCGCGTTGTAGGAAAGGCAAGGAAATGGATTTGTCCAGCTGATCTGAGTTCAGGATCAAGCGAACTTGATCGTGAGGAGCCATGTCACTCGTGAGTCGGTCAAATAAGTGCTGAAATGCGCGGTTCAACGTCGACATGACGTTCGACACCCCGTGCACGTCCAACGGATTGAATTGAACAGTGTAGTCTGTACCTAAAAACCGTAATACACTATTGTACTAATCAAGTAATAGCAATCAGAAAGACACAAGATGAATAGCATCAAATGTCCTTTATTAGCTATCATCACTTGAGCATACAATAATCATCATATAGATTATTGTAACATGATTACCCAGTAATATAGAATAATTCGGATACCTCAAAAACGGGAGGTCATGGGTGGTACAAACAACACTAATAGAGAGCATAAGATCTATGACCCGCTAGCTCAACGACGCGGTCTGAATTTTAGTTCAAGAATGAGCCCTAAGCAATTACATCATTGTAATAAAAGTTTGAAGATTTTTCAAATAACCTTAAAAACTGCTAAGTTCGACTAAAGCGATGCAATATTTGCTGTAATTTCGACTTTAAGACGGCTCTTGGATCGCAATAAGCGTTCACGTCGTATGAAAAACGTGACAATGCTTAGTTTAACGTTTTGTTTAGCACGACAATGCCTTTGAAAATATCCCTGAGATCACGAATTAATGACAGTTTTTGTCTTGCATATAAAATTTCTTTCTTTCACAAGCAAGTCGCAGGTCTTAAGCTCGCTATTTATCGAATAGTGCTATACTTTAGCTACAATTCTAATCATAAGCCCTGCAAATACTAAGGCTTCATTTGAGAGTTATGACCATTTATAAAAAGCTTATGCGTTGGATAGGTTTGTACGGGCAGTTATAGATATACATACAAGCAATAAACACAACTCTTATAAGACCCTGCTTACACTATACCGGATTCGCTGGTCACTACATCTTCTTCTGCCGTTACAGAGCAATGGCTAGTAGCAAATGCTTATTAGAATTGGCATGTTTGTTGGGGTCTCTGAGAATAAAAGTCTTCACAGCCTTTCGATACCTACAAAATTTGCCCCACTCCGATAGCAACGAAACCTTGCTCGCACGTAATAAACTCTATCCGGCACGTAACTGATGTTACGTTTAAAAATACACGCTTAAAAATATAAAAACAGTTTGTGTACCTGTCGTCCTGAATTTCCTAACGTTGACTTGTTTTACCGATTTAATATTGAAATACTCCTCCGGTCTTTGGCGTTTTAAGGGGACGTCATCACTGGCGTGCTTTCGCTTGCTCCCTTCACCCTTTTGGTTTTCTGGCGGTTCAGGTAACTGTTCGAGTTCCTCGCACAAACCATCATCATTAGCCCAGTCTTCGTTGAACAGGCGACGCTGATCCTCGGTCCAATTATCCATGAAGCCATTAACAACTCCAACCGGATTCTCCCGTTTAATATCTTCGGCCATCGCGTTCGTCCAAAATATAATGCGCTGTTGAAGGACAGCTTCCTTCTGCTCATCAGTGAGCATAAACGACGACTCCTGAAGAAAATCGAGTTCACTTTCAGCTTCACAAGCTTTGATCAGATCCAACATATTAATCTAGAAATATCATAAACATATTAATTAATCTAAAACTATGACTCTGAAAATATCGTAAACATATATTCAAAACGCTACGTTTACTTACCGAATGAGCCATTTTAAAAACAATCCAACGCAATCCAACAGACAACACTTGAGAATCAGAGAAAACCAGAGACCACTCGCCAAAATGCAACAGTGAGAAATGAAACGTGTGTTCGAAACACGATATTTATAATCTCTGATAATTTGTCTGGTCGCGTTACTGTGCTGTGCCGCTAATTGATCTCATTACTGTATTGCAATGCTAATCGATCGCCTGCCACATTTGGCCCAGGCCTGCCCGCGTTAATTGGTCGCGCTACCTGTCACAGTTGGCCCAAGTTGGCCCAGGCTTGCCCGCGCTAATTGGTCGCGCTACCTGTCACAGTTGGCCCAGGCCAGCAAAATTACGTCATAGATTTTGCATACTAACTACTTTCGGAGCAACGTGACGTCATTAGCGGCATCCCTTTGTACTCCAGAGTGGGGGGCTTTACTACTTGCCTAATAAACCCAATTTATCCTTTTCAAAATGGCGGCCTTTCGTGGAGTGGGCAAAATGTTTCAAACAATTTCGTTAAAATGTTCAACGAATTGTACCGGTTTTCTATGGATTTTGCATTGTGTCTAACTCTGGGCATTTTTGCTAGTTTAGTTAATGCATTTTTCTTGATGCACGACTCTGAAAATCCGAAATTTGGATCTTTGAATTGCCATGAACGATCATAATATACTGAATCTGATTATAAACGAGCCAAAGACAATTCCAAGGTAAAAGGTTATAACTTAAACTACACAAGTAACACAACGTAGTTTTAATAGATAACTACTTTATGAAAAGCATATTGGTGTCATATCAATATAAAATTTATGCAACAACAGTCCCTAATAGTTAGCTGTGGAACTGGAACGTGAAAACTGTAGTCTGCAGTGTGAAATATAATATTGTAATGCCTAATGGCGTAATACCAGCAATAAGGATAAAAATACAATCGTTCGATTCAGCGTAAGAAATTGTATTTACGGATGTCAAATGTATTACTAAACAACAATATTCTTGCGATTTATGGCCTTTGAAAATCAAGCGAAATTGTATTGTTGACAAAATCGCTCGCAGTACGTATATTTGCTGACAGACAGACAAATCACTCGCAGTACGTTTGTCCTTGTATTTGTAATGCCTAATGAGTAATGGCCGAATGGCGCACTATTCCAGTAAGGATAAAAATACCACCGTTCGATTCAGCGTAAGAAATTGTACTTACGGATGTCAAATGTATTACTAAACAACAGTATTCTAGCGATTATTTATGGAAATTATGGCCTTTGTCTTTGAAAGCCAAGCGAAATTGTATTGTTGACAAATCTCTCAAAATTATTCAACTAATTATAAAAAATGCAGTACATTTGATCCTTGATAACTTTGGTATCGTTGGTTTTCTCTTTTTCGGCCGTATACCAGTGCATTCGTCTCACTTCTCTCTTCATTTTGATAGTATTTTTATGTTGAACGTATTAAAGCGCAGTTTAATCCTAGCGTACGGACCAACTGGCGGCCAAAAGATAGGGCCTGTTTACATGGAGACAGGCTAGGGTGACCCTATCAGGAGGGTTACCCTAGCAAGCGGGTCAGAAAATAACGAACGTTTACATGAGGTAGGGTAACCCTACTGCTAGGGCTATGTTGACAGATAGAGTAACCCTACCTATGCGTGGTCGCTAAGCCGTCTGTATTAGAAAAATGGCGCCGAAACGCAAAGTTTTAGCGGCAAGTTGTGTAATGCTATTTATTGGGCCTTTACTTGCTGCATTTCATTGTTGTGGTCTGTTCTTTCAATGTTGTGGTCTATTACTCGCATTACGTAATGTATTCCTTGATATAGTCCAACACAACAGTTTTTCGACATGTTCGGCTGACCAAGACTCAAGAGCATTTATTTTGTTTTTTTGACGTCGATGAGGATGCGCCGGAATTTTGCTTCCATTTCGCCGTCTATGACTTTGTTATCGAAACTACATCATTCGCAGCGTTCTCGTCCAAAGACAAAGCTTCGTTCCATGCCTCTGCTTCCTTATTTGTAAATTGCTTATCCTTTTTATTTTCTGGTGTCGTTTTAAAAATACTCGCCAGGCTATGTCGTTTTAAAATACTCGCATTATATGTTCATATGTAAAATCTAGCGACGCCATCCTTGTTTGTCTAGCAGTCACAATAGGACGTATAAAACATGACCCGCATGCTAGGGTAACCCTACCTGACGCGTTTACAGTGGCTTATGTAAACAAAAAGATAGCCCTGCTGCTAGGGTCACCCTATCTGTTTGATAGGGTAACCCTACCCCTAGGGTAACCCTAGCGCGCATGTAAACGCTTCCTATAAAACATATTGAAGTAGAGTAACCCGCTTACTTGGGTAACCTTCTGCTAGGGTCACCCTACTTCCATGTAAACAGGCCTTAAACCGCATTTTAGTACTGTGTCTAGTTCAATAAAATTCCGAACTGGAATCATTATACTAACAAAAACTTCAAAACTTAGCCACCTACCTGCAATACAAACCTAACGAATTTGAGAGCGCCAGCACTCTCCCCTTGACAAGCAAAATCAACTGGTATGAGACATTAAAATAATAAAGTAGGGTGCATTGCCATTGGGGCACAAAAAATATAATCTGTGTCAAATACTGTAAGTTGTGAAGGCAATTCTGTAAAAAATAAAAGTGATTGCCGTGCTAACTGCTAAACACGATAAGTTTGAATATAGTTCACCAAAAACTATTCTATACTAGAAAATACATGCATGCAGCAACCCCTCGCCTTTCTTAACAGATGAAGTATAAAAACTCCACATAAAGTATTACGGCCATTATAAACAAACATAAAAACACAACTGTCAACTGATGCGCTAGCTTTATAATGCACCTATCAATTGACACCCCGACCCTCCCCCCCCCACTCCGGGACATAGTGGGGCAATGTGGGGAATTTTATGGTATTTGACTGTATTTTTTGCCCGTGGAGGTTGGGGGATTTGTCGGGATTTGCCTTTGAAAATTTCCCCTTGGGAAGTAGGGGTGGGGATTTGACTCGCTCCCAATTTCCCAGGTTCCGGTCGCGCTACTCGCACATGGTTGACGACTGTCGACTGTAAAAAACTTTTTGCAGTTTTGCAGAACAAGGTATGTGTCTAGTTTATAATGCTTTTATATATAATAAATAATAAGCAAAATTAAAATAAATAAGCAAAATAAAAAGCAAAATAACATAATAAGCAAAATTAAAATAATAATAAGCAAAAATAAAAATAATAATAATAAGCAAAATAATAATAAGCAATAATAATAAGCAAAATTAAAATATATTCAGTCCCAAAAAAAACACGAAAGACTTGTGTAAAAATACTAAAACAATTATTTGCCTCAGGCTTGGTGATTATCGGGGAATATTCACCTCGACTTCGTCTCGTGGCTCTCAGCGAATATTCCCCGATAATTGTTAATTAGTACATTGTTCTGTTCATTAATAAAGTTGTAATTGATATTTATATTGCCTCTCCAGGGTGGGGGTTTTGGGGGGTTTTTGTGGCAAACATGCCCGGGTAGGCTGGATGTTTATACACTTTAGAACCAATGTCAAATCAAATCCCCACTATGTCCCGGGGTGGGGGGGGGGGAGGTCGGAGTGTCAATTGATAGGTGCATAATGAACGCTAACATTCACTGCAATTTGATGCATACTAGCTTGCATTAAATGTGGATTATCGAGTTAAGAATGGCTTAAAAATTTCTCAGATATGAATTGTCTGAAGAAAATCGACAACAGAAAGCAAGTACGGCATGGAATGTTAACACTTACCCTAACCGGCACAACAATGATTAACTATGATCAAAGACATCAACGGCAAAACATCAAAACAATTATTATACAAACTTTGTTTCACGGTTGAACGGTCACTAAATCATGAAACTGCAAGCTTATTTCCAGTTAAAATCGAGGGGAAAAAACCGTGTTCTACTTTTGTAAACTTTTTAACGAAATTTAAAACAAAAAATGCTGTAAAACAGCAAAATCGTTTAATACTTCGACAGCAAAATCGTTTAATACTTCGACAGAGTTTGTACTCGCGCATGCGCATAACGTCGAAAACGGTCCATGACATAAACAAAATGGAGGACAACTTTGCACTCCGCTATGTTTTCAAATACCCGGGGATAATTAGCCGTGCGGAATTAGTACCCTCACACGGCGCTTCGCGCCGCCAGCTCGGGGATCAACCGGAATGTGCATGTTTTCCGTATGAAGGACAAAACCACAGCATGTGTTGCCTGAACAGAAGGACAATGGTTCTTCGTCCTTCACACGCAAAATATACAAATTCACAACCCTTAGACAATAGTTTTTTAGTCTGAATTAGGCACAATGCATATCACACAAAAAGTCAAAAACAAATAAGGAAAACCAACCGCTTCGCACCGTTCTAAGAAAGACCCTGGGACCGTGGCTGAAACAAAACTCTGATCACATGAGAGGATCTGATTTGGCCAACCGAGGCCGGTGTGAACGCCTGAGCTGGCGTCTTAGTTCTGTAAATTGCTCTGTTTTTCTGTAGCGGTTACCAAATTATGAGCAAATTATGGTCACAAAATTTACTGAGTTTTCATTTGTATAGTTCCAGCGAGTTAACGCTCTACAGAGCGTCTTGTTCAATTAAGGTTGTACATATCCACGAGCAAAGCGGAAAAGTCGAATTCGAACGCGAAAGGCTGCTGGAAATCGCTATGAAAATTCATTAATTTGTTAGCGATTCCCAGCAGCCTTTCGTGCTCGTATTCGACTTTTCCGCTTTGCTCGTGGACAACCTTAATTGAATAGCTGTATCGGAGTCGTTTGCTTGAACCAGTGTGAAAGTATGGAATGCTTTGCCAAACACCTATACAATCCTTGCTATAATTATTAAATAAAATTTCTTTTCACTATAAAATGTAAAAGTATACTGTACTTATCGATGTTATATGCTATATCCTGTGATGACTGTATGTTGATCTCGTCCAAATTATGCAAACATTTTCTGAAATTA